CTTTTGTACTTTTTAGAAATATTTAAAATATAACAAAAATAAACGTCTCTGCCTGTGTCGTGTGTTTTTCTTTACATTTCTGTGAAGTTTCAGRCCATTTCCTTCAATTTTGCGATTTATGCCTGTGGTTTTGATTATTCTTATGAAGGCTATTGACAGGTAAAAGCTATTGTTGAAGAGTCCCAGGGTTTCGGAGAGCAAAATCCGAGATATTATAAAGCTAATGACCGATAAACCTATATATTCTTTTAAAAAATACCGTATTTGTGCTCTTTTTCGGCCTCTTCATTTACWRCATATCAAAAGATCTAAYATAAGACATCTAAGCAAATGTCACCCGATGTATGGCAATAAGTTTGATATGTGTGGCTGGTAAATGTGATGGTCAGGAGTGGGTGGCTGATGAATGTGATGATCAGCAGAGAGTGCCTGATGAAAGTGATATTTCTTTTTGATATAATTATATTGTTTTTACTCTGTCCAATGCAGATGTGTYATTTTTTCTTATAAACATTGAAATAGTAATAAGTTCCTATGTAAACAGTTGATAAAACCAGGGCTCCACCCAGAGAGATAGATATCAAAATGGCGTAAATTTGAGGAATCTGAAAACCGTTGTGTTTAGAAAGTTTCATGGAATCGTGACGTCTAACCAGCATGCATTTCGTAGTTCCTGACTCGGTTTTATTGCAAAAGATGGTCTCTGCTGGGATTTCTTCGTGTTCGGGTTGCTCCGGTGTTTCTGACCTCTCAGATGCCTTTTTACTGTTGAGAAATTAATTCAAATTTTTATGAATTCATAGCACTAGGCCTTTACTGATATATTATACATGTTACATTCAATGTGAGCGATCGCTGTTTTAGTAGACAACAGACGCACTTACATAGAGAACAAAAAGCACGAAAAAATGTTGACATTACAATAGCTCTAGAAAGTTGAATCTTCTCCGATTTGAGGCTTAGCCTGAGCAAGAGTTTCAACCCCCTGGGAATACAGAATCGGAGAAAATACAAATTTATAGGGCTATTGTAATGACAACATTTGTTCGTGCTTAATTCTTTTGTTTTTGGTAAGGTCTTTGCGCACGAGAAACTGTTGTCAACTAAAGCAGCGGTTGCTCGCTTTGAACGGGAAAAAGGTGTATTTCGTCAGGGGTACATTCCGGATTGCACTATTTTATTGGAAACGTCCATCGACTCGGATTCTWCATTTCGGATTCCGAACTCCACGTGCCTGGAGTTTGATTCCACTAAAGCCTAAATTTTTTCCGGATTTCTGATTCAGTGAACGAGAAAAGTTAATTTCATCGAATGAATTGACTCGATCAATTATTGCATGACGGAACGCCGACTGTCATGTTATCTGCGCGCGCTCTTAGCAAAATGCGGATAACCTGTCTTATATAACCTGTGTTATTAGAACGATTTCACATRACCGGATAAAAAATGCTAATAAAATCACATTCAAGCTTTTTSTTCGCATCCTTTCTCCTCTTCTTGCGTCTTCTTGYCAACATATTTMATTTCTAACTCTTTCATTTCTAACTGTTTGAATAGGAGCAAAATTAGATTTGTCACGTGWCCAGTGTTTCATACYTTGTCACAAACTAATGTAGAGCCGCGAGAAACGGGACCGTCACGTAATAACACAGGTAATCCGCATTTTGCTTAGAGCGCGCGCAGAAAAC